AGCTTCAACGGCCACCATGTCTGTGAGGCAGGAGTAGACCTGGACGATGTTGGGGTGCTGCACACTGGACAGCACCGCCATCTCCATTGCGTCTGACACAGCCTCGCTGTTGGTCTTCCGGCAGTTCATGATCTGGGAAGGCGGGAAGGCGGCGGAGAATCCACGAATCAGCCCAGCCGTGGGTGCAGCGGTGAGGGTAAAACGCGTACAAGGGAGAAGCACGGCGGGGGTTCACAGGGAGCGGCGCGCCGCTCATTCGGCCCAAGGACGTGCGCGGCGTGGCACCCCGCACCTTGATCGCCGCGGGGATCGTGTGCCACGTGCCCTTGTACACGCAGCCAAACCCGCCGCGCCCGATCAGCTCTCGCGTGACCAGGTCCGCGCACGCCGCCAGCTCGGCGCTGCGCCGCCGCCCCTTGCGTATCTCCTGCTGCAGCACCTTGAGCATCGCCTCGGTGCACAGCTGGCGGCTGCTAACCTTGGACAGCCGCGCGCTGGCGCTCGACGGCGGGCCGGCCGAGGCGATGATGGTGACGTCAGCGTCGTGGGTCTCCAGATCGCACGAGGTTGCCTCGGACGATCCGCTGTTGCCGCCGCTGTTGGCGCCGCCGCCGCCAGGGGCGTGGCGCAAGAGCTTGTCGGAGCTTTGGACGGCCGAGGTTCCAAGACTGCTGCGGCGGCGGCTGATCACCTGGGGCTGTGTGAGGGTGGAGGGGAGAGCAGGTGCGGGGGAGAGGAGGAAGAGGGGAGAGGTGTTCGAAAAGAGCCAGCGGTGCGATAGAGGGTGTGTGTGGTGGGGAGCGGCGTGGTCAGGAACGATGGGTCGCGAAGCCGCGAGCGTTCAGGCTTCATGCGCAGCCGGGCACGCGGCGGCGCAGGGAGGGGCAGCGAGCGCAGCAGGAGGCGGCAGTGGCGGCGAGGTGAGGGGGCAACTGACCTCTGTCATGAGGGCCCTGAGCTCCGCCATTTGGCCTGACAGCTTGCTGTGCAGCGTGGGGGTCACCGCATGCACAAAGCCCTGCGGGGGGAGGGGTTAGGAGGAAGCGAGGGGGAGCCAATGAGAAGGGCGAGAAGGGAGGTGGAGGTTCTGTTGGCTGCAAAGGCAGGGGCAGGGAATCAATCAAGAGACAGATTGCATGAGGCGTAGACCGCGGAGAGAGCGTGTGGCAGGAGTGGGCAGCGACGGGTTGCGGCGGCCGGGGCGGCGGCATCGGGGAGGGGCGCCGAGGCACGAGTTGTTTGGCACGGCACGGCGGGGCGGACCGCCAGGGGGTTGAAAGGTGTGGTGCTGCGCTGCGGCTCCGCGTGCGGGGCACGTGGGTGTTGGGGCGCACCAGCAGTGCGTCCTGTATGTTTGAAAAGTCGCAGGGCGCGTCCTGCGTGAAGTATAGCGCCCCCAGCGCCCGGTCCTCCACCAGCAGCGGCACCACCACCAGCGACGACACGAGGTGCGACGCGTGCGTGAAGACGTCGCGCGCCGGGGTGGGGCAGTTCTGTATGTACGAGGCGCAGTCCTTCACGAAGCGCGCCTTTCGCAGCGACACCTGTGGATGAGTGTGGACAAAACATGCAGCGTCGGCGTCGGCACCACAAAAGGAAGAACGTCCGATTCGCCGGCGCGCACGATCCAAGCTGCGGCGACGGTGTTAGAGCCACCAGAGGGCCCCAGAATTCAGCCCGTCGTCGCGCACAACCCAGCCAGCCGCGCGGCGTTTGGCCCCAGTGCGCACAAGCGGCACGCACCGCGCTGGCCAGCAGTGTGTTGCTCAGCGGCAGCTCCCGCACGGTGACGTCAGCGGCCGGGTCGGCCGGCAGCAAGACGCTGCGGCAGGAGGAGTTGGCGGAGCCCGCGGGCAGCCGGCAGGCGGGCGTGCGCGACGCGGCCGCGTCGGCGCGCACGGACTCAAATATGAGTGCGGATCCCATTGAGGGGCCATCCAGCAGGGCCAGCCGGGCCCCCATCGCGATGTTTGTGGTGTCGCGCATGAAGCGGGCGCCGCTCTGCAGGCGGGAGGAGGTTGCACGAGGGAGCATAGGGGACAGTGACGGATGGGGCAAGGGGAAGGCGGCAAGGTGTCGGGCGCGTGGCGCCGCCCGCGATGGCGGAGAGGGTGTGGGGTTCCTGGGCGGCCGGCCGGCAAGCCGGGCGGCGCGGGCTGTGGGCGGCCGCTGAGGGGGCGTCGCGGAGGGCGAAATATGCATGACAGCGCGGGCGTGCAAGCGCAGCGGCGCTTGCAGCAAGGCGCAAATGAGCAAGTAAGAAACAGATTGAGGGGAGGCCTCACAGTTGCATGTGTGCATGTGCATGAGCATGTGCATGTGCATGTGCATGTGTGTGTAGGTGTGTGTGGGTGTGCGCGCGCGCATGCGCGCGCGCACGTGCGCGTCCGCGCACCTGGAGAGCGGCGCTGATAGCCGAGACAGGGTCGGCTGCCTCGTCAATCGTCCGCAGCATGCGCACCGCGCGCGCCACCGGCGCCGGCCGCACGTGGCACAGCAGGCCCGTCGCTACCGCCGTGGGCCAGATCGCAGACCTGGGGGTGGTTCCGGACAACGAGGAACACGCAGGGGTGCAAGGGAATAAGCTTGGCAGGTTTGGGGCAATAAAGGTGGATTTGCTTTGGGGCTGGCGGAATGGAGCGCGCGCGCCTGGTGCTGAGTCAGCGTGCAACTCGCAGGGCGCCGCCACAGCCGCACGCGCGGCGGCGCCGCGCGGTCGCGGAGCCTGTCCCCAGGATGGCGACCCCGCCGCCGCCCGCCGCCCTCCTCGCGGAGCCATGCTGCCCCGCGCCGCGCCCGCGCGGCCGGCACCCATGATCACCAGTGGTCGTCGAACGCGTTGGGCTGGCGGCGCCCGAGCAGCAGCGTGCCGAAGGGGTCACCGGCGGGGCCGATCGCGACGGACACGAAGCTGCGGATGCCGGCCTGCGCATGCAACAGCTGAACATCCGGCGCCAGCGGCGCCTGCGCGACCGGGCGGGGCGGGGCGGGGTCGGGGCCGCGCGAGCGGCGCATGCGACGGCGGACCCGCGCGCGCTCGCGCGCGCGCAGACAGCGAGCCGCGCGTCCCTCCATGCGGCACGCGGCGGCTGCGAGCCCGGGCAGACGCGCGCATGCGCGGCCTTGAGGCCGGCAGCCGCGGCTGCGCTTCGCGCTCGCGGAACGCCGGCGAGTGGACGAGGTGCGCAAGCGCCCATGCAAGCGCCGATGCACGCACAGGCACGCGGGCGCGCAGCGCACCTCCGGCTTGGTGGCCGCCACGTCTCTGATGCACTCCAGTGCGGGCGCACCCTCCCCTGCCAGCCGGGCCGCGCTCCAAGCGGGCCCCCGCATGACTGTGTGCCGCTCGAGCGCCGCGGCGCCGTCGCCGTGCATCGCCAGCAGCAGTGCGCAGCCGGGCTCGTCGTCCGCGTACACGCATATGCTGCAAGGCGCGAGGGAGGTGTAAGGGGGCAAAGGAAACCCTCAAGATCCCGTGGGCCCGCGGAAACACAGCCGCCAGGGGGGCGGGCGCCCGGCGCGGGCCGCCGCCGGCGGAGGCAGGGCGAGGTGCGGGGTGAGGTGTGGCGAGAGCGGCGGCGGGCGGCGCGGGCACGCGCTCGCAGCTGCGGCAGGCGGCAGCGGCGACGGCTTGTATATAAAGGATCCTACCCGACAAAGTCGACGGCCATTTCCGAGGCGAGCAGCTCTGCGGCTTCTGACAGCGCCAGCAGCGGCTGGCTGCTCAGCAGAGCAACCTCTTGCTGCAGAGCGTGCACCTATCGCGGCGCGGAGCAGCGCGCACGAGACGGTTCTCGATGGCATTGCAGCAGGGGATCGGCGCGTGCACTTTCACTCGCACTCTGGAGGCCCGCGGCGGCGCTATACGGCACGCGCACGGGGTGTGAATCAGATGGCTCACCCTGCTAATGAGCCCGTCATGTGCCGCAGCCCGTGCCGCCCGGATGTCCTGCGCGCTGCCGCCTTTTCTTGAGCCCGAAATGTCATTGCGCTCCTCTGACAACGACACGACGCCATTTGCAGGCGCACTCGCACTATTGCTGGCCTGCACAAGCCCCTCCACGGGGGCAGAGGCGCAAGCGCCCATGCCGACCGGCTATTTACTTGTAACAAATGGTGTATCGCGCATCAGCCGAGTGTGTATGCTGTCCTGCGCGAGGCGCTTGGCTTGCTAAAAAGGGAAAGTGCTCTGGAGCAATTGACGAGCGGCTGTTGCCAAGTCCTGGTCATCGTACAAGAGAGTATAATGGATTCAGATGCAAACGGCAACCTCGAGAGGGGCTAAGGGTCCAACCGCGTTGCTTTTGCGATCGATTTTTTGCGGCGCTGGATTCTGCGCGCGATTGCATGTGGGTGGTTCTACCCAACCTTCTCATGCACTGTGATGGCAACGCGCGCTTAAATTTGACGAACTTGTTTTTACTGGTCGAGTGCCACGGTTTGTGCGCCGTTTTGGACTGCAGCATGAGACAGCCCGAGCTGACACCTGTGCACGCCATTGCGAACTCGGCCGCGTGGCGCCCGTGCGTATGATCTGAGGGGGGGGGGCTGAAGCTCCTGGTTGAGGCTTTTATGTAGCAGGAAAGGCCGTCTGCAGGCGAAGCATCTCTGCCACACGGGATGTGCCGCCCAACCCTACCGTTTGAATCATTGGAGCGTCATCCCTGGCCGCCACGCGCGCCGCGAATTATGACCGCGCCCGCCGCCCCACCGCGCCGCTCCCTCCACCTGTGCCCACTGCTGCCACTGCGCTGGGGCCGGTCACTGCTTGGAAAGGACGACCGCGCCGCAAAATTCAGGTGGTGCCCAATGAGACATTGACAACCACCTAGACAAGCAATGAGCCCGGCAGGTGGCTGCGGGGGCCGCTGCCCAACCGCCGCCGCCGCCAAGCCCCCCATTGCCGTCTGGCAAATACTCTGAAAATACAGACTCCACTCTGGATCCCTTGGGCAGTTTTACATGCGAGCAGCGTTGTATACTCCGCATGCGAGGTGGACGCTGACAGTATCATTAGTCAAGTGCCTCAGCAGTTGGATCGCGGGCGGTGCGGTTGGCCGGCGGCATGGGCATGCACACCCACGGCTTAGATAGGAAAGGGCCACCAGGGCAGGCACGTGCCATGCCGGAATTGGAAACAGTTCGTTTTGGTGCAAGAAATGTGCTGGATCATCTGAAGGGAAGCCGTCGAGCGAGGCTGGCGCGGCTGCTGGGAAGCTCGCGCGCCCAAGCCCGGCCGATGGAGGTTTTGCGGGCACGCGTCACCACGTTGCCGCCGAGACCGCGCCGGCTCGGCACGCGCGGGCCCCGCGAGTGGACTCAAGGGGATTATGCGGCCCTGGTGCGCGAAATTCCAGCGCGAGAGCCGCGGTCACGTTTGCGGTAAGAGCGGCACCCCCATGTACAGCTTACAGCGGAACACGCACCCCAGCAGTCACGCCCACCGGCACCGGCGCGAACGGCGGCGCTGCATCGCGGATCTTCGGCACGAGTGAGGGGGTGTTAGCCGAGGGTATTGAGGTCCCTGGCTTCTCCATTGAGGATGTGGCCAAGCTTTGGACCGTGCGGCCCCAGGGTTCGGGTGCTGCGGCACGTTTGGTGAGCGCCTCGCTCGGGTTTGTGGCAGGCGGCCGGGCGTGGTGGCCCCGCCTCCACACCAAGTCGTTTTTTTGTCACCTGTCGCCATTGCGGAACCGCCACTGTTTTCAAAAGTGCACAGGCCTGGGAACCGTCTGCAGTCGCCGTTGCACCGCAGGCGACGACTGCAGTTTTCAAGATCGCCGCAGGGCCGCGCAGAAGGCTCCTGGAAGTGCAGATTCCCAGACGCGCAAGCCGCCCCCTGTAGATCACTCCCTGCCTCCAGATCAACAGATTGTCAGATCATCGCGCCAGATCAGTCCTCGGTGACGGTCACGCTCTTCGCCAGGTTGCGGGGCTGGTCCACGTTGAAGCCCCTGGGGTGTGCAGCATTCAGGCATTCAGAAATTGAGTCAGGCTGGATCGGAGATTGGACGGTACGAGATGATGACCTTTGTCGGCTCGAGAGCGGACGCTGCTCAAAACCCCGCTGCCCAGCGACGGCGGCGCCAGCTCGTCAGCTGCGGCCCGCCGCGGCCCTGTGCCAGCGGCGGTCAGCGCCAGGCATGGGCGGGCGGGGCTGCCTGCGGCTGACGAGGGGGCTTGCGGCGTGGCGCGCGGTGTGCGGGGCGCGGGCTGTGGGTGCTGCGCACACCTGATGGTTGTGAGGTGGTAGGAGAGCAGCTGGAGGGGCAGGATGTTGACGATGGGCTGCAGGGCGTCCACCTGATTGAAAATTTGAATATTTATAAAGAGCGGGAAAGGTGTGAGTATGCTGAGGAGATGGCCGACCTCCTTGCAGCAAGAGGACGCCAGCTGGCGCGGCCGGCGCGGTTGGCGCCGGCCTCGCAGCGCGGCGGGCAGGGGCGCGGGCGGGCGGCATCGCGACATGGGCCGCGCGTTGTGGGCCGTGGGCGCGCTCTCACCGTGCGCGGCACGCGGATGAGGGTGCAGTTGCGGCTCTCGAATTGGTCCATGGCCTGGGGTCGGTTGAGGGATCGGTTGGGGCATCGGCCGGCTGGAGGGTCGGCGGCGGTTTCTGGCGGGGCGCGGCGCTTTTGAGCGCACCCACGCCAAGCGTGGGGGCACTCAGTAAATGCCGGAAGCCCCCATGCGGGGCGCTCAAAGCGCATAGGGAAACCAAAACAAATCGAAGTCGGGCGCCCGCGACACCCCAGCCACACGCCTCAAAAAACCGTTCCAGGCATCCCCAGCTCCGCCCCGGCGCACACCCGCAGATCCGCATCGAATCCACTCAAGTGCACACGTTTCTTGTCCAAGCGCGCGCGGCCACCCACCCCGTCCCCGGTGTTGCAGAGGATGACCAGCTTGGCGCTGCGGGCCAGCAGCTGCTGGATGACTGATTCCATCTTGCGGTGCATGTTGTCCTGGGTAGCGATCTGGGGTCCAAGAGGTTGGGGTGGAGTCGAAGCGGGTGAAAGCGGTCAAACAGAGAGAAGTTGATGCCAAACCGTCCGGGGCAGGCGGTGGGGCGCCCAAGGGCTACCCAAGGGCCACCTTCCCAGCGCAGGCCGCATCCCATTCAACCACTAACCCCCTCCCCCTAAACATCCACCCCAGGAATTGAGCCATGGCACGTTGGGGGCGGGTGCGGCCATTTTCACGCCGTCTGGGGTCAGGTTTCAGGGTTGGGGGTCCAACAATAGTAGTTTAGGGATGTGTTTCAGGGGCGCCGCGCACCACTATGATGGGCAGGTTCTCATCCACCAGGGCCAGGGGGCCGTGCTTCATCTCCCCGGCGTTGATGCCCTCAGAGTGGATCAGGGCCACCTCCTTGACCTGTGAAGGAGTGTGCGTTTGTGCGTGTGTGAGTCGATGTGTGTGTGGGATAGTGTGTGAAAGAGTCTGAATTGGTGTGAGAGTGTGGATGCGGGAGGGGGGGCGCGCGGGGACGGGGTGGGGGCGCCGTTGCGGCGCAGGCGCAGGCTTGCTTTGCAGGTGGGCCCGTGCAGAGCGCGCGCGCGCACGCGCGCGCGCGCACGCGCGCGCGCGCACACACACACACACACACACACACACACGCACACACATACACAACCCGACCTTGAGCGCTGCCTCCAGCGCCGTCGAGTAGTTGTACCCCCGCCCGAAGAAGATCAAACTTTGCGCGTCCTTCATCTGCTCCGCCAGCTTCTTCATGTCATCATCCAGCTTCAGCGCCTCCCGGATGTCATCGGGCAGCCGCGCCAGCGCCCGCATGGCGGCGATGCGCTTGGGGGCCTTGGCGCGCGAGTCGGCGCCGAGGAGGAGGGCCATCATGGTCAGGGCCACGATCTGGGCGGTGTAGGCCTGGGGGGGTGGAGTTGGGGGTGGGGGTGGGGGTGGAAGAGGGTTGCCGGGAGGGTTTGGAAGGGTCAGGGTGACGGTGTGTGCGCGTGCGTGTGTGTGTGTGTGTGTGTGGGGGGGGGGGTTGAGGGAGAAAATCCACACCCATTGTCAGACGATTCAGTTCTGGAAATCATGTTTGTAACGTGCTCGCAGGGGGGGCAGGTCCCACACAGTGTGATGAGCACGCATCCCAAACATGCGCTTGCCCTGCCTGTCACGACCCGACCACAGCAAGTGGGCCCGGCCCAGGCACCTTGGTGGAGGCGACCCCGATCTCGAAGCCGGCGTTCAGGTGCACGCCGCAGTGGGTGGCGTTGGAGATAGCGCTGCCCACTGTGTTGGTGATGCCCACGCACAGCGCACCCTTGGCCTGCGCGGGGCCGCGGTTGATCGTAATTTTGATGTGTGAGGGCCCCGAGCGAGGGCCGAGTAAGGTGCACGGGGGCAGCATGCGCAGAGATGCAGTGCACAAAAGATGCGCCGGTCCCGCCCCAAGCCCCGCCCCCTGCGCGCACCTTGGCATAGTCCAGGGCCCTCAGGG